TGTTGCTTCACCGTATACGTCGCATCTATTATGTGTCACCGCTGACGCATCGCGTTTGTTTTGCTTCACCGCTGACAACCTGGAAATGTGGGCCGGTGTTGTGCCAAATCGATGGGCTGCCAAATGGCGATTGCGGGATCGTGCACGGGAGGACTTTAACAAGAATTTAACAAGATTAACACTTAAAAACAATTATTTGGTTGCTCGAAATTAGAGTAAAGGTGTGTCTCAGTCTAACTTTTTCTTAATAAATGCACTTTAATGGTCAAATTAGTTGTATTTCAAAAGCCGTTTCGCATAAGCGAGCACGCGCAGAGGGACAAGCCACGGTTCATTTCTTCGAAATTTAACAAGATGATCACCTAAAAATAATTACTTGTTTGCTTGACTTTATATTAAATCTGTGTCTCAGTCTAACATTTGCTTAATAAAAGGACTTTAATGGTCAAATCAGCTGTATTTCAAAAGTATTCGCTGCCTTGGTGCTCCCGGGGGTACACAGACAGGGAGGACAAAAGAAGGAGGAACGCTGCACGCTTCTTCAAAATTTAACAAGAAAAGCATGTAAAACAATTATTTGTTTGCTCGAAATTATATTAAAGGTGAGTCTCAGTTGAACTTTTATTTAATAAATGTACTTTATTGGTCAAATAAGCTGCATTTTGCCGAGGCAGTGCAGCGAAATGAAGCTGGTTTGACGGTTGCTCCAAGCAGCAAGCAGAACAAATGTGAAAGTCTAAGGCAAGCCGTTTGTGTCATTAATAGCTGGTGAAGATTCTCAGTCATCCAGGACATGGTAATTTCAAAAAAGTTCAAGACAAGAATAATAAAGTATAAAGTAAAGTATAATAAATTAAGTCCAGTTGTTTTTGTCTTGTACTTTTTTGAATTTGTTATTAATAGCCACTTTTACCTATTACATGATACAACTGCATGACTTACTACGCTGCTGTCTAGTGGTTGAAAATGGTACTGTTCGATTTTTTTCAGTCATAATGAATGAAAACGGTCATATCTCAGCCAAAAATTGGTTTGTAAATATGGGAAAAAATCCATAAATACGTCAATTTGGCCTAGAAGTCACAGGGCATGCAAATAATGCAAAAAATGGTGTGTGAAAAATACGGTACTCGAGAATGGAGTTTTTAAGATGACAGCAGTCCACTTTGGTCCAGTTAATCTCCACTTCTCCAAACTGAGGTAATTCAAAGAGACATCTACAACAAGTTAGCCATTGTTCCTCGCAGAGCCCCACTTTAAAAGATCTGAACTGCCCTTTTAATTAGACCATCCTTAAGGCTACTCTTTACACAGCATTACTAAAACTCCCCAGAAAAAGACACCAGAAGTGATTTCCTCTGAAGTTCTAGCTGTTACACCACTCCAGCACACGCAGAGTGAGTTACATGCGCCACAACCTCTGCTTCAACCTCTCCTGTGCCGAGTCAAAATGAAGTCAAGCCTGGCTGACAGAACGCACCGTCTCCTGTATGTAATAGAGCTTTTACAGCACAAATCCATCTACAAGTATTCATGACTCAGAGCCAGTTAAGAAAAGTAGGCCACCCCAAACAACAAAAGACATCCAGGTAGCTGGGAGGAGACAGTAAATCCCCTGGATTCGTTAAGCAAGACGTGCTCTAACGGGGCAGAGAGCATCCTAATTGTCACTTACTGAATCAAGTCCTTATCACTGTGTGCATTTATTGTTCCGACCCATACCCAGCTAAATTACCTGTGCTGTGAGCTCGTCCCAGGTGGGTATAATCGTGAGAAACTCCCTCCTCAGCTTTCCGTCAGTTTGTTGTGTCTGTTTGTTGGCATTCGGTTTGTCAACGAGATGTAAAATTTAAAGGCGAGCGTTTTCTGATTTCTCTGATGAGGATTTAAATAAATCATTACCGCGGCTATAAATAGAGAGTTGCTAAGCAGTTCAAATGACTTTATGTAATTATTTATGTTAAAGCAAAAGGAATTAATTATGAATGCTCTGTGACAAGCTAAACATCCAAGTGGTAGCTGAGAGGGGTGCGGAATTTGGGTCAAGCTTGCAGAAAGGCACAATAAAAATAAAAAAAATAAAAAACCCTGTCTCTGTGATTAGAGCCGGTGAGAAAAGGGATTGGATGTGGCGTGTTTACGTGCATTTGTGCGCATGTGTAGCATTAACAGGGTTGAAAGCCCACATACCTATGCTTGTGTGTGTGTGTTTTTGTGTGTGTGTGAGAACTTATTGTTAGCCCGAATCAACTCTCCTGAACAATCACAAGCTCAGTTCTGACAGGGTCAGCAGGATTACAGATTCTAAGGTGTCAGAATCTCATTAAAAGCTCCTTCCAGCTGTCGTTAGTTGCTTGCACCAAACTCTGTAGTGTTGCCATGGATACCAGACAGGTTACCGATCACCAAACAGGGAAACAAAGCACAGGGGAAATACTGTTCAATCCCACCTGTGCACCTTGACCGAATTCCCCAAAATCTAACCAGAAACACCAGTTCACGGCTACGACATGACGCTAACTTGGAGTGACACAGAACAGAGTGCGCTGCCATATTTATACAGTTATTAATGCATGGTGTACCAGCCAGATCACTGCCTCTGAAGCCGCTGCACAGCCGAGCAGAAGGCGGTAAAAGGAGAGAGGAGCAGTTTAGAGCACTGGCATGTAGATGTCAAGCATCTGACTTATTATTATTATTATTTTAAGTATTTGAAATCCAAAAGGATGCAAGTCTCACATGTAAATGAGACTGCTATGATCAAAATTACCATTAATGATGTGTACAAAGAATGCTTGTATGCAAATGGTGACATTTCTTCCTCTCGCTGATTTGATGAGTGTCCCTCCTCTCTGCAGATACGCTGTGGTGGATAATGTGTTTACAGTCATGTCCTCACCCCCATCCACATTATCACTGACTGACAGAGAGCGGCAGCGTACAGTATAAGTGATATCTGACGCTTTCAAGTGCAGTAGATTAGCGAGGAAGCTCTTGAAAAAATAATGCCCCTTCTCCATTCTTTCTCCTTCAGGACACTTAATGAAACAAGAGGCTCTCGCACGACTGCTGATCGACTGACTTCCCCAGCTGTCAGTGATATCGCTACGTTTTAATGAAGTTGATGTTTAACATTCAGATTGCAGTCTCTCAGTATACAAATGCAAAAAAAAAAAAAGGTCCCGCGTAGTCGCCAAGAAGGAAAGCGGTGCAGGGAGCATTTCACGTTACATAAGAGGCAACCTTATGAATAATCTGTGTGTGATTGTGAGAAGCAAGAGCGTTCCACAGGCTGCATCCATCGTGATCAAAGCAACAGAAAATCAAACTTCGACCTGCGGTTTGCTGCACTTTTCTTGCTTTGTCTTTTATTGTACTGTTCAAAATGTGCATTAAGTGTTTGTAGAGGAAGAAAGAGTTGTGTAAATGGTGGCATAAAACACATAATACACGAGGAGAGGAAAAAGCAATGTGTCAGTGCTATGAGCCTTCTCTGACAGTCCATTCCATCCAGTTTGTAATCATCCTGGTAGGAAGGAGGCCACGTTGGGGCGTTTTGATAAAGTCACGACGATGATTCAGCTGTGCTCTTTAAAACACCTCAGCTGTGTTTGTCCTGAGTGTGTAGCTGCAGGCCGGGCTTTAATAAGGGCTGCTGGCTCATTTTAACGAATGAACAGCTCTTTTTGTGTTGCCAACTGCTACGCATGCAAATGTCAACTATGATAGGGTATCAAAGCCTGAATCTTGTTACGAGAATTTAAAAAATAGTCGTCAAGAAGAGAGATCGCAAACAGTACGAGACAAGAGCATAACCTCCAATGACACACACGTTTGCAGGCCATTTTACTGCGAGACTAAAGGGAAGAACAATGAAAGTGCACTTTTTTTCTGTTAGCTTAGATTTAGGTAAGGGGCAAATGCTATTATTAGACTTTATCTCATCAAGCTGCTCAGACGAGTATCTGTATCTGCTCAGGAGTGCTTGTTTTGAATAAAAGTCGCCAAAAGGCTCAAGCAGGTAATAATAATTATTGTGTGTTAGAATGAGTTAGACAAATTGTGATGAAAGGTTAAAAAAATTATGTTAAAACTGCTTAACGTTTGGAGCCAGCTCTATTTCAAGATGGCTGCCACAGCCAGCTGACCACAGGAAAGAAACGACATGCATCCATCCATTATATTTACCCGCTTTTTCCGTTTTGGGTCACGGGGGTCACTGGTGCCCATATCCAGCCATCACTGTGTGAGAGGCGGGGGGACACCCTGAACAGGTCTCCACTCCATCACAGGGACACACAGAGACAAACGAGACAAACAACCCAGTGGTGTAGTCTATATTTTTGTAGTGGTTATACTGTGCTTAGAAACTAAAGTAAACTGGTTAGTACAATGTAATTGTCACTTTATTTTGATTTTTAAGCATATTGAACATTTCCAAATTTCTCTGATGCTTGTATTTGAATACATGTGCAACAAACTGTGTACAACAGTTGGCTTTGTGTTAAAAACATCCATCCATCCATCCATCCATTATCTTTACCCGCTTATTCCATTTTGGGTCACGGGGGTCGCTGGTGCCCATGTCCAGCAATCACTGTGCGAGGGGCGGGGTACACCCTGGACGGGTCGCAAGTCCATCACAGAGACACATAGAGACAAACGAGACAAACAAACATTCAGTCTCTCACTCACACCTAGGGACAATTTAG